TTGCATAAATGTCAATGAGAAAACTGGCACTGCTTTCAAGCCCCAAAAGTTGACAACAGGGCACGTTCAGGAAACATGGAAGCAGCGCTGGAGTCCTGTCCTCGAATGTAGGTGTTGGCGGTGTCGGCAGCTGGGCAGGCTGCACACAGCCTGGTGGCTCACGGATCGCTCATGAGTTGGGATGACTCAGGGTCATTATTGCGAACATGAATTAGTATGAGACGCTGCCAAAAGAAAACGATGCTTTCCAAAAGGCATTGAAATATGAAGGGCATTGTGACCCAAAACGTAGTGCCCTTCAGAAGCTCTGTTTTTTGAGATGATATAGTCCTTTTAGATGAAAGAAAAGAGAAGGTGCTCCCTTACGGCAGGACGAGCTGTGACGCAGGTCTCGCCGCTGTTGGTACGACAGCCCCCGTCTGCAGTTGCGGTCTCTCCTCGTCTGGGCCTGGACAAGGAGCCAGGTGGCTGGGGCTGCGGGCTCAGGCACTCCCCCGGGTCTGGCATGGAGACGTCGTGGCAGCCAGTTGGGTCGTTCATCGTCCTTTTTCATCTTCATATTTTCTGGTTTGTGGTGAACCCTGGACGAAATTACCTTCAGAAAAGAGCTATAGTTATCACAAAATTTAATAACATTCATCGTGCCAGCCAGGGTAGTAGGGATAGCTGTTATGATTTATCTGTTGCGTATGGCTATGACTGTAATTGTACTAATTAGATAGACTTGCGGATTATTCTAACAGATAAGATTGATTCAACAGCTTTTCGGTTCTCCTACTTTTAGCAGCTCTCTGGATCTCGGGGGAGCAACCCAGCTCCAGGCATGGGCTTTGATTAATCTAAATTTGGGATAGGCTGAGGTTAATTTAATCTCGGCAACTACCCATGCAGCGATTGGCTCAGGAATTCAGCCCTAGCGCCCAGAACATGACAATTCCCACGGTTATAAATCCAAAAATGAGACATGAAAGAAAGATCGCTAGAGGCTTTGGGGAAACAGTTCTTTACTTTTAAGAACGGGGCACAGGAAGGTGATCTCTTTCTTCTTGGTGTTGCCGCTGTGGTCAGGAACTGCTGTCAGCCAGAGGATGAAATTGATGCTCCCCGGAGGGCAGCGGCAAAGGAGCTGCAGAGGAACAGCTGGAACTCCTGGCCCACGCCATCTCTGAATCCCGGTTCACCACCGGGCTTGTCACATGAGCCAACAAATCACCTTAAGATGGTTTGATTTGGGGTTTCTGTGGTTTGCAGCAGAAAGCACCTAATTGATATCATTGTATTGTTATTCTTATGACTGGTTGTTCTTTTAAAGCTGGAGTAGCCTCGGGAAGTTATTTTTCCTTTAATTTTTAAGGTGCTTATTCATCTACTGTATATTCCGATGTTATTTTCAAACTAATTATAATGTAAAGATTCTACTGTAGCATATCCCAAGAAAACTTTGGCCTTCCATGGTTTTCTTACCTCCCTCCACACTTAGTAGCATTTAACCTTTGTGTAGTTTCCTAAGAGTATTTAACCTTCCATTTGGTATCTACTGTGTACATGTGTCTGTGTGCAACCTACCTGGCAGAGAGGACAGAGCCCTTGCTTGAAGTGAGAGCACAGCAGAACGATATGTTAATAAACCAAGTAACACAGGATTGAATTACTGTGCATAAGCCAGACCTTCAGGAAGTGAAGGGCATGGCTGAGTGGACCGCTGAGGAAGGAAGAAGAGAGAGGGTGGCATGGGTGGAGAGGCATCCTCAGAGCAGGCTGCTGAGTGAGGCGGCCGGGCACGTGCAGGGGGAGGGCGTGCGTAGCCCACTGGGAGAAACAGAGGCTAAGGCTGGAGAGAGGCTTTGAGAGGTTCTGTGTCCGGAGGGGAGAGCGGTGCGCCCAGCGGGAAAGGCTGTATTGCCAGGGTGAGGAAGTCGGAGGTTGGCTCCACGGCTTTTTAAACAGTGAGGGGCATTACCACGGGGATTGTTGAGCGTTATTCTCACAGCGGCTTGTGAGGGAATCAGACCAGGGAGAGTGGTTGGCACAGTGTCCTGGGAAGCTGTTACCATAATCCGCACAGGAAGAGACAAGAGCTGCGGGATAGTAGAATCTGGATGTGTAGAACCGCATATTTATATGGAATGTCTGAGTTCCCACAGCACAGTCAAATACATTATCTAATTTATCTGATACATGCTCTCTATTTATTTTAAAGATGAGAATATAGAAATTCAGGGCAATTAAGTAATCTCCCAAAAGCTGTTAAATGACACAGCCCTATCTATAATCTAGGTCTTTTGACTTCCAGGTCCAGTGCTTTTCCATAATAACATAAGCAGCATTTTCCATTTTTAGTGAAATTCAAGCTGTGTTCATTTGACTGTGCTCCACAGCCTTTGTCTGTCGAATGGCTCCAACAGGCGCATAAACAAAAGCTCAATACCAGCTCACAGCTCCTACAAACACTGAAAACCACTGAATAGTGAAAAGATGGTTAAGTTTCCCAGATAATAGTAAAACCTCCTCACATAACAGAAAGGTAATCCTTCTAGCAAATACAAAAAACAAGAGGCTAGGTCAGTAGAAAGTTTTCTAAGTGTGTTAAATGAATGGAGAGTAACTGGGACTTCAAGGGAGCCTGAAAATGGCTCTGTTGAATGAAGGTGGAAAAGTCGCCCGTGACTCTCAACTGCAGGCAAAAGCAGCCGTGCAAGACCAGGAGTTGCAGTCTCAGTGAGCCAGAATAAGGGGGCATTCCCATGAACAGGCATTTAATACACATCATCTCTTACTTAAACTGTGAAGGAACTACTAGCTGATGGAATGTTGGACATCAGCCTTCCGATTGAGAAAGTTAAGTTTCCAGCTGTACAGTAGGCATTTTGAAAGTTACGATTTTTTCATCTTTATTTTGGTTTTTAAAAACCACATAAAATAAAATTTATCATTTTAGCCATTTTTAAATGCACAGTTCAGGAGTGTTAAGTGTAGTGATATTGTTGTCAGACAGGCTTCCAGAACTTTCTCATCTTTTGCAAATCTTAAGCTCTACCCATTAAACCGCAACTGTCCTTTCCACGGTGGGACCCCCTCCCTCCAGTCCCTGGTAACTACCATCCTATTTTCTGTTTCTGTGAATCTGGAAAGTTACGATTCTTTTAAAATGTTATTATCAAGGAATATTTACTGAGCACTTGTTGGGCGTTCTTGCTGCCTGGACCAAAAAAGAGATAAAGGATAGTGGAGAATCCCTAGAGGGTCTTTGTTACACTGGACTCAGAGATGTATAAAAAGATAAACCACAATAAAAATCAATGCGGGGGGCAGAGGAGGTCAAAGGGGACTAAGTGGTAATGCAAAAAATACAATAAAAATCATTTTTTAAAAATCAATGCATGTTAAGTCTTAGATGAACAATGGCCACAGTAAAAATCTGTGTGGTGCTAACAATAATATTCATACAGTTTTGCTAAGCTTTGCTTCTGCCACTGCTGACCCTGAAATACTGAGGTACCCACAGGAAATGTGAGCCTGATACCCTGGGAATATCAGGTCTCAGTTTGCTCTTGTTAACAGTAACGGTGGTTATTAGTGGGGTGGGAGGGAAATATCGAGAAGCTGTCCTGCTAGATTAGCTTGAGTGTGATTGTTGTCTATTTCAAGATACAGGAGAGTACCTATAGAGGGTCCCTGGGGGAAAAGTGCCCCACGGAGTAGAAGGTCAAGACTCACTTCGTTTATGCCTAGGCATCGTATGCAGCTGGAGCTGGCAAGCAGCCTTTCTGGATGCTCTCAGTGCTGCTATGTAGAAACATTGCGGTGACATAGCAATGGGAGGGTTCAAGTCAATTTAGAGGATACATAATTGACATGTGTTTTTTGAAATGTCTTGGAAACCACTTTATGGGGTGCTGTATAGAATGCAAAAGAATTAAAAAAACAAAAACAAGGCCGAGTAGCCAGATGAGGATTTAGTAAATGGTTGCCGAGTTGTATTCACTAACAGTTCCCTTCAGGAAGAGTAGCAGCTTGTTCCTGATGGAGCATGCGGATACTTGTCCAGGACTTTGTGGGGCTTTGTAGATGAAATTGCTAAGTAAGTTATGAGCTTCCATGGTGGGGGGAAATAGGCGAGGGAGGGCTTGAGTCCCAAATGACTGTCACATGCTACCTGTCAGCTCAGGTGAGTGCTTCTGAACCATTTGGTTTCAGGTTAGAATAAATTACCCAGAGAGCTTTAAAAATTATCATGTGCAGACTTTACCCTTGACCAATTAAGTCAGTATCTCAGAATTTGGGGAAGAGATCAGACCTAGTTATGAGGGGTTTTTGGTTTTTTTGTTTTGTTTTGTTTTTTAAATTCCCCAGGTAATTCTAAAGTGCAGCCAGGGCTGAAACTATTTTAGTTGTTTCAGCTCTAGCCAGTAAGATGCAGGGAACATTTATTAAGATATATGTAAAATATTTCTTAGCTACACTAAATAAGTGTACAGGCTTTCCCATCCCCCCCTCTCAGATAGGCAGGGTTGTTTGTTTGTTTGTTTGTTTGTGGGTTTGGAGGGGGCTTAGCCAGTTGCAGGTTTTAAAGAAACAAGTGGAAGTAGGTGAAGGATGACATTGTGAAGAGGCCCCTTGGCCGTCTTTAGGGATGGATGGAGCATGAGGGGTGGGAAACATTGTTTACATGTATTTCAGGAAGTAAAAAATAAGGCATGTTCTCAATCTATCTAAATTATGTAACCTTGAAGGATGTGATCCATTTATGTCAAAATAATGAGGCATATAATACATTGCATTTAACATGTGTGGGAATTCTTTGCAGGGTAATTAGCATTCCTTTCTTCAGCCTGTATTCAGAGGAAACATACCATTCACACCCTGTGTTCACATTTTCCAGGGCGTTGGAGAGCTTTTTTTTTTTTTTTTCAATAGAAATCTTTGTCCTTTTCCTAATAAGACTTGGATTATATTTGAAGAAATTTAGCATGTCTTTCTTTCTTTTTTTTTCCTGGCAGGAATTGATTTTAAAATCAGAACGATAGAACTAGATGGAAAGAAAATTAAACTTCAGATATGGTAAGTAAATATATATACACAGAGTTTCTACTTTAGTCAGGAATTGAAAGCGGGCATTAAAATGTGGATTGTGATAAATTGGAGGTATTCTGTAATACCCAAAATGTATTTTCTTTATGAGAACAAAGGGGAAGTGAGCAAATATTCAAAGGTCTCCCTACTCAGAGTTGGAAAGGTAAGGAATGATAGTGCTAACTCACAGCCAGAAGAGATCTGAGAACTCCTTCTTCCCCAATGCTAATTTTAGAGGGGAGGAAAGTAAATTCTAGAAGAGCATAAGTTACTTCTTTATTGTAGTTGTTGCAGCTGTGAAATCAGGAACCCTGAACAGGAAGTGCAGATCTGCCCCAGTCGGGACTACCTCTGAATTGACATCTGGGGCCAGCTGCTTCCCTTCTGAGGGCCTGCTTTCCCTCCTATGTAAATTGATTGATTAGATTGGTAATATCTGAGTTCCCCTCCAGCTCTGATATTTATTTGCCTAAATCTTCTCATTATGTTATAAAAAGAGAAACATTGGACTAGGAAATAATGGAGAAAAAAAGTCATACATCTCTCATGTTGCAATATGCAAGGCAAAGATCTTAAGATCACCCAAATCTGACTGGCTAATTCCTGAAGAATTTGTCAAGCTATAATGAATACATACAGTTCTTCCAGATTACCAGGTTGAACATTTTTGGATTGAACTCAGAAACTCTTCATGGATTTTCTTTTAACCTCCTGTAAACTGGTTTAGTTTCTTTCAGTACAGGGCCTTCCATGGAGCCATGTGGATTTGGAGCCTTGGGAAAGGTTTTTGGGGCTGTTTGCTGATCTCATGTGTGATGATGACAGCAGTAGATAAACAGCTTAGAGATGGAGAGCTACACAGACTGCACAGGGTGAAATAGCGAAGTCATACATATGAACCTATTTCTTAGGCTGTTTTTCTTCTTGGAATCTCAGAACAGGGATAGAATTAGAACATTATCTTGAAATTCACTAGCCCTTCTTCTGGGGGGAGTTAGTGTGGCTAAGTCCATCTCCGGGCATATGTCTGGGTTGGTGGTGAAGCCCAGACGACTACCCAGGTCTTCTGGGACACGGAGCCGGCTTCATCCACCAGCATGCTAGTCCCCAGTAGACATCTTCAGAAAACATCGTGAAGGTTACCACGGGCTACCCTTTTCATTTATTGGTATTTAGTAAGAAACCACATATTTTAAACTTATAAAACAGTTTTTAAAGGGGAAAGCAAAGAGAATTTCTGATTCTGTGTTGTATAGTCCCAATCATAGCAATAGAGAGTGCTTCCAGGAGCCTGTGGGTGATCAGCTAATTAGAATTTAATATAACATCATGGCTGTACTTGTGGATATTCTCCCCAGCAAAATGGTCTCTATTTACCTATATTTTCCCATGTATAATGCTTACCCACATATTTAGTCCAAACTTCCAGGGAAAGAAATCTTTCATTTTAATTAAATTATTTGTTTGTTTATAGAAACAAAACTGGTCATCATATTCCAGGGTATTATTTTGCATACAGATATCATTATCACTTTCTAGAGCTACACTTTTAATGCATAAGCATAAATAAAAGAATTAAAAACATTTATATAGATACAGAATTAGTCCTACCCCTGTATAATGCGCAACTTTATTTTTCCCTTAAAAATTTGGGCAAAAAGGTGTGTGTTATACATGGCAAGATATGGTAGTTTTCATGACGTAGTACAGAAGGGTTTCTACTCCAGCCTCACTGCAGAGCTGGCTCTAAATCAAGTAGTGTGAGAATCAAAATATGGTTCTGACCATAAGCAAAGGTGCTTGGTTTGTATGTTCCCCGTGGCTTGTTTGCCATGTACCAAACAAGTGCCCTGTGCAGCTAATCCTGGTCAGTGATGGAAGAGTTGGACTGTGAGGTGAGGCCTGACCCTGCACTAAATGGCCAAGAGGTAGGGGCTTGAGTCCCATTCAAGGGTATGATCTGCTTAGGGGCCAAGCTGGGACCACAATCCACCCAAGCCCCTGTTTCCTCTAGTGCAGAACAAGGGTGGTGGTAATGCCACACCCTGGGCTATGGTGGGCATCGTGTGAGAGTACTTTCTAAGGTAGACATGAGTATTAAAGGATTTACTGTTTTTGATTTGTTGTATTTCCTTTGGGCCTTCATCTCTTATTTGGGTTTGGGATGCATTGGATTTCTAGTTTATTTTTGCAAGTGCCTCTTTCCCTCCTATAATTAAATTGTACAGCTTAGTTTGTCTTAGTAGCACAAGGAGTGAATTAGCATATGTTTTCTGACCATAAGATGCACCTAGGTTTTAGAGGAGAAAAATAGGGGAAAAATTGAAGCAAAAAAGTGGTAAAATATTTTTTTTTATATTTTATTTATTTATCTTTAGAGGGGACGGGAAGGAGAGAGGGAGAGAAACATCAATGTATGGTTGCCTTTTGTGTGTCCCCTGCTGGGAACTGGCCTGCAGGGAACTGGTCTGCAACCCAGGCATGTGCCCTGACTGGGAATCGAACCGCGATTGTCTGGTTCGCAGGCCCGCGCTCAATCCACTGAGCTACACCAGCCAGGGCTAAAAGTGGTAAAATATTGAATAACATAAATAACATAATATTTCACCCATGTAAATGTAAAGCTACATTTGGACTATAGGACACACCCCCGTTTTCTCCCAAGTTTGGGGGTAAAGGTGCATCTTACAGTCTGAAAAATATGGTAGTTCTGCTGCTAAGTGGCAAATGTAGCAATAGTGATTTTCCCCGATACCAAGGAAATTTCACCTGCTTTATAGGCATTACTTCAATAAATATAATTGGAAACCTTTGTATTTTTTAGAATATATTCTAATGGTATGCCATTAGAATATGGCATCAGCTAAAAAGCAAAAATATATGAATGCTTATGTAATTTTGTAGTGTTGTTCATGTTTTAAAGCCTTTGGAAACATTGTCAACAATTATGTGTTGAACTCCAGGTTCCCATTTAATTATGGGCTCCATAGCTGGAACAGTTCATGAGGAGATCCATTTGAGTGTGCTCTGCCGAGCAGAATTCACTCAGTAGTACGTCCAACCCAATTGCTTTCTTTGCACAGAAATCCGACTTTCACTCAAGAGAGCAAAATGCCTTAATCATTAGGCATTTGTAAAAAGAGTTCTAACTACCTCTAAGAGTCCAGGGATGTAGAACTTTTCTCTGTTCTCTCCCACACGTGTTGGACTAATGCAGTATGCCAGCTCCTAGCAGGCCATGCATTTTCCTGTTGCCACTTTTATCATCAAGCTCCAAGCTTTTCACCCAAGTCATTGTGAACTCTTGACAGGCTCCCGTGGCCACCGCCGCCCCCAGCTCCCAGACACACAACAGGCTCCCTTTGTATTTCATTCCCCTTTTTCCTGAAACTGCTGCATTTGTGAGCAAACCAGAATTATCTCTCCTACAGTTTCAGGTCTCTCCTCAGTCATGCTGGTGATGCCTTTTAAAATCACTCTCCCCTTTGTTTAAAATTTTAGGGACACAGCGGGCCAGGAGAGGTTTCGAACCATCACGACAGCGTACTATAGAGGAGCCATGGTAAGTGTGTTTTTGGGGCTTTGTGACTCTCAGGTGAAAGTAAAACACAAATATTCATTTGTCGAAATTTATAGGACTCAAGCTAACATCTAGTACAATGGGGAAAAGGGATTTTTTGATGTGAAAGAAATGTTTTGTGTTTAATTTAGTACATGTGTACTTTGCCATTAGTCATCATAATATTAATAGGTAATTAGCCTGAGTTACTATATACTTTTGTGATTTTTTTCTTTCTGTCAATATCTTAGCAAACCACGAGCTTTGTAAGTAAGTATTCATTCCTCGCCCCTCTCGTCATTCAGCCTGCCACTATCATTCCTTATCTCTCACCAGGTCCACAATATCCACTCTTAATGGCTCAGCTCTGTGGATTCTCCCCCACCAGCACCTACCCGCTGGCTAGGAAGCAGCCTAATGATAGGTGACTCTTTGAGGCTTAGAATCTTGACTGCCAAGTCCTTTGCTACATGCTAGCCTTATCCTTGTTAGCATAACCTCATCATTTGGCTATTTTCCATCGTATGGCTTCATTTATGTAACCCATTTCTACTGCTTGTTGGCTCAAAGCAGGTTTTGTGTGGTGCCGAGAGGACAGTGGCGAACAAGGCAGCATAGAAGCAGAGCTGTACTGAACCATGTCTGGAATGTCAGGCCCAGGCCAGGGCTTCGTCTCTGGCTTTTAGGCCTAATCCAGGCACTAGCTGGGACTTTTGATTTTGATGAAACTCAGTGTAGTCAGAGAATCTTGGGAGACCGAGCAGTTGAGATCATGAAACTCAACCTAGTAGAATGTGGGTATCAGCTGCCATCATACTCAGCTTATTGTGTAAAAGACTTGTGTTCCTGGGAGTGGTGTCAAGGTGACAGAGCTGGAGGGCTGGTGGCCATCCCTTTGCTTTCAAGAGACGTGACCCAAACCACAGACCCCTTTATCATCATGCTGCCCTCCCTTCCTCTCGCACTGCCACACCCTGTGTTATTTGAGTACCAGTAGTTCACCCTCACAGACATAGTGGGTATTCCTCTTCAAAGCTCTATCACCTTGGCACTGCATACTGCTGGACATTTAATGCACGTATTCCCCACTCTTCACCCTTGTAATACTTTTACAATTGTGAAAGGTCAGCATTTTAAGAAAGACAGTTGTCAGCTACTCTCTGTTTTACTTAGATTATAATCAAAGGGAAGGGACTTATCTTCTGTGCCAGGAAGAAGTTTGTTTGTTTGTTGTTTGTTTTCCCCAGGCATGATTTTAGGGATAAATAAGAACATCTTAGCAGGGATGATTTGGAATACCGTATTTCACCGTGTATAACAAACACCTTTTTGCCCAAATATTTGAGGGAAAAATAAGCACGCACGTTATACATGGGTACAATGATCACATACCAGGGGTATAATAATCTTGTGTATAATGAGCAGAAAATGTGGGTGCATATTATACATGGGAGCACATTATTACACAGCAAAATATGGTGGTTCATAGGTAATTTTAATTCGAGACATTTTATAAATACAAGCTTTTCTATTGACCAGTTTTTTATTTTCCACACTGGCCTGCTGGCTTTCGCCAGAAGGTGGGTAGGAACGATTAGAGTATAGAGTGTTTCCCGTGGTTGTCGGGCTCTGGTTCACAGTATGAGGAAGGAAGACATTGAAACTTGTCCTTTAATTTAGATGTGAAGATTGTTTTTCACTTATCTACTGCCCAGACCTTCTTCACATTACTTCAGATAATTAGAAATTGTGGCTTTTCTAAGACAGTCTTGTCTTTTCTGCTTTGAAGACAGGCATTTTCGTTTCTTTTGTTCTGCTGTAATGCCAGCGCCTGACATGTAGTAGGTGCTCAGTAAATCCTTGCTGAAGGGGTGAGGCAGTGGAAAATTTCAGGCCCAGAAACAATTTTAGGTGAATCCTCTGGACATCCTGCTCTGCTGGAGTCCCAGATCCGGAGGTTATCTGTCCCAGTGGCTTGCGGAGCCATCGCGTTCTGTTGGGGCCATTGTGTTCTTGCCAGGGCACATTCTCATTTCAGTGGGTGGTGCTTCTGCCAGGTTCGGTTGGGCTGGGTTAGGTATGCAGCGGGCCGGTAAGCCCTACATTGGGGTCTGCCACCGTCACAGGGTCTTCCGGTCTGTTTTAAACTCTTCACAACATTTATAGGCAGGCCTAACAGTAACCCTGGTGAACAGTCAGGCTTTTGGAGAAAAGGACCGTATCATTGCATTGTCGGCATTTCTCATAGACAAACGCTGTCTTAAGAACCCTGAGGAAACTGTTGTTATTATAGGTACATATCAGATATATAAAATTTTAACTAGTATACTTGAGTTTGTATTTCCATCTAATTTATAATATCAGTTTGCTTACATAGGAAATAGTCAAAGGGTTTCTGCTGTTGAAACCAAAGATACAAATTAAAAATAGCTGCCATTTATTGAGTCCAAGCTGTGTCCTGAGTTCTAGGTTAAGTACCTTGTATGTAATATCTTGTAGATTCTCAAAAGAATTGAATGTGGAAAACATGCTGTCCTCATTTTACAAATGAGGGATGGAGACTGAGAGGGATAAAATAACATCTCTAGGATCTCGGAGGACATGCCTCTGACTGCAGAGCCTGTGTCCTTAACCACCGCACAGCGCTCACGCTTCCTGTGTGAACCACCCAGAGCGTCGCTCGACAGGCACAGGGCAGTAAAGGTCAGGGTTGTCTGTGTAGCCCAAAGGGTCGTAGAGCTATAGCAATTATTTGGTTAATGTTGATAGTATAGGCAGCTAAAACACTTTGCATCAGGAATTATTCCAGTTCAGTTTTGAGGGGTTTGTTTTTGTGGTAAATATACATAAAATTTACCATTTAAGTGTATAGTTCTTCACTTTGGGTTTTGTTTTTTTAAATTATTTACATTGACAGTTGTAAAAAATCTTTTACTATGTGGCCAAAGTGAAATATTTGCATTTCAGGCAATAATAGAGGATATTACTGTTTGTCATTTATACAATAATACATGTTTTTCTGGTTGTCAAAAGGTTACATGTAGTATAGAAAACTTTAAAAACCCCAAGAAATCATCCAGAATCTTAACCACCCTGAAATAGCTTTTGTTAACATTTTGTTGTTTTCTGGGTTGTTTGTCTGTGTGGATATTTGTACTGTATATGATTTATTTTTATTCCCATTTCTGTTTTATATTCATTTACAAAGTTGGAAGCCAGACCCCGAAGGATGCTGCCTGCCCTGTTAGGAAATTTTAGTTTCATTATAAGTACCATGGAGAGGGATCAGTGAAGTGGTAGCTAGTGTCCCTGTGGAGAGTGGATTAGCAGTGGTTAAGAATGAAAGCAGGGGACCAGTTAAAGACTGTGAGGGAGCCCAGGTAAAGGTTAGTTGCTGAGAATATGAATAAGGCAGTTCAAGTGCGGGGGTGGGGAGGTCGTTGGGCCTGCAGGACTTGGTGACTGACTGACTGTGAAAGTGAGTGCTCCCAGGGGCTGCTTGGGCCAACAGACAGGATTCTGCCGCCCTTCATCAAAATGAGAGGACAAGAGGGAAGCGAAGATTTGGAGGGACGAAGACAACCTTGTGTTTTACTTAGTTGAGTTTTCAGTGACCATGAAAGGACATCTGGGAAGTGATGTCCAGGTGGTGGTCTCCAAGTCGCATCTGACCCCTGTCTGTCTCTTTGGCCACATCTTATGCTCTTCTCTCACTGGGTCTGTGCACTTTTGCCAAGCTGATTTTCTTTCACTCACATCCAGTGGGTTCTGGGCCTTCCTGGTCAGCAAGACATTTACAACGTTTCTCCTCTACGCCAGCCTCAGCCCCTCGCCTAGGTCAGGTCTGCTCTGCCCTGAGGCCTTAATTCAATGTCTTTTTCTCAGGGAAGCCTTCCCTGACCACCCCAGCCCATCAGTCAGATTAGGTTAGCATTTGTACTCAAGCTCCTAGTACTTCTTCATAGCAATTACCAAAATTACATTTAATTGTATAATTATTGGTTTCTTGTTTTGTTTGCTACCCATGCATGAGAGGAAGGAGCCTGTCTATCTCGTTCACTGCTGGCAGGACTTAGCGCAGGGTCAGGCACACGGCAGCTGCTTACTGAACACTTGTGGGATGGCTCAGTCGGTGGGTAGATCAGCACTTAATACAGAGGAATGGTCTGGTGATAGATTCTGAGATAGTTAGCATACAGATATCATTTAAAGTACTTAAAAGAGAGACCCTGTAGAAACACCAGCCATGAGATCTTTAGAAACATGATGACAGTGTCTTTCATTAAAGTCGTATGACAAATGTATTATATTTTAAGTGTCTGTGATTTACCTAGATAGTGACTTTTTCTTTTTTATCCTCACCCAAGGATATGTTTATTGGTTTTTTAGAGGGTGCGGAAGGGAAAGAGAGAGAGAAAAATATGGATTGGTTGCTTCCCATATGCACTCCAACCAGGGGTCTAAACTGCAACCTAGGAATATATGCCCTGACCAGGAATCGAACCTGCAGCCTTTTGGTGTACCGGATGATGCTCTAACCAACTGAGCCACCTGGCCAGAGCGATAGTGACATTTTGATCAGCCTATATAAAAGAAATAATTTAAAAACAATATATTACAATCTTAGTATTGAAGTAAGAAGCAAGACAATTTCTACTTGGAATACACAAGTGCACAACAGAAGTGATTGCCTCTTACACTCAATGTTATCTCTGTTGTAACTTAAACACTCTTTTAGCTCTAGTTGGTGCCGATTCTTATCATGTGAGGTCAGGTAGAAAGGCTGTATCATCTTTACCATAATCACTAATTCATTAAAGGTTAACAGTGAAAATGTTAAAAGAGTATTTATTTACCTAGCAAGACAATGGAAGAATTTATTTATTTATTTTTGCTTCTCTGTACTTTAAAATACTGGGTTGGCCAGAAAGTCCATTACATTTTTCCATAAGATGACTCTAGTAGTGCTTAGTTGTCTTTCATTCAGAACAATTTTGTTAGATTGTATTGTGACAGCTGTCATATCAGTGTGCATTTTTAAAAAACTTACCAGAATTGGTGAATTTTTGTGCAGCTATTTAATATTGAAGGTGGAAGAAAATAAGCTACACTTTTAGCATATTATGCTTTATAATCTCAAGAAAGGTTAAAAATGCAACTGAAACCCCCCAAAAAAGATTTGTTCAGTGTCTGGAGGTGCTGTGACTGACTGAACATGTCAGTAATGGTTTGTGAAGTTTCTTGGTTCTGTTGACATTTTGAGCAAATAATTAATTGCTGGGGGGCTGTCTTATGCTTTGGAAGATGTTTAGCAGCACCCCTGGCCTCTACCCACTAGAAGCCAATAGTGGGAGATGGCCAACTTACTCAGAATATCCAAATCAATAAAGTTATTGGTGAAAACGAAAAATATGTCTTTTATTTTACATAAAAAAACATAACAGACTTTTTGGCCAACCCAATAGTATCATGAAATCCTTTGATAAAGAAAGAAGGAAAGAAAAGGAAAAGGAAAGGAAACACCCAGAACGTTTCTGGAGGGGAGGAGTGCATCTATATTATATTTTTTAACTTTAAATGTATGCAGTACTAAATAAAGATCTTGTTTTCTCCTATAGGGAATTATGCTGGTCTATGACATCACAAATGAAAAGTCCTTTGACAATATTAAAAACTGGATAAGAAACATCGAAGAGGTACATGTAGGAAGAGAACGGTGGTACTGGAGATCGTCCCGAGGGTAGCTGCCAGGCGCTGAAACGGGGCTCCTGGCCCCCAGGGCGGCAGCCTGTGGGCCGGTCTGACGGCCCTGCTGGGTCTGGGTGGGGGCGGAGGCAGACACAGAGGATTTTAAACTTGGGCCAGATCTTAGAATAATTTAACGCAAGTCCCCACTTTACACATGAGCAAGCTGAGGTGAGAAAGAAGTGACTTGCCTTTGAAAAGGAGAGCTAGTATTAAAACATCCGATTGTCGGGTTCTCTCTCTTCCACCCTCTGTTTGACTGGCAGAGAGCTTATCTTTAGTCCGGCAACTTATCATTTTGCCCTTCTAACATTTTCTCCATCTTAGATATTTGAAATCTTATTTAATTTCAAATTGATTGACATTAAGATTTTTTAAGTGGCTTTGACGTTCAGAAAGAAATCTTCTCAGAAGTAATTTTGTATACCCTCATATTAACCTATAAGAATTTTTTTCTAAGTAACTCAGAATCCAGAATACCTTCCCCATTGGCTCATGTGGCACCACGTTTTTTTTTCTTTTTGACCCAAACTAGTATTTGGAAGTTTCCGTGTCAGAGAACCATAAGTTATTTCTGCTTGTTCATGTACAAAAAGCTGAGAATGACCGAAAACTTTGGGGAGAAAGTTTGCATAGCCTCTTCCACTGTAGCTTTTCCCCTCTTCCCATCTTTTAAAGTTTTCTCTGAATCATGCCTTGTGTTGAGTGAAAGATTATGTGCCTTAATTATTGAATTCGTGAGTAGGTTTCTGACAGGTTGGGATTTGTCTGTTGAACGACGGCGCTGTTCCCAGGCTGTCTCTCTGACACCGATTCTCTCCCTGCAGCACGCCTCTTCGGATGTGGAGAGGATGATCCTGGGCAACAAGTGTGACATGAATGACAGAAGACAAGTGTCAAAAGAACGAGGGGAGAAGGTAAATCTGGACTGAATGCTTAACGATTCAAATTTACTCACATTAAGCATTTATTTTCTTAGTATGATTATTGATTTAAGTTTTTGAATATCTACCTTTTAATCCTCTAAGAGCAACAAAGAGATGTAATCCATGCTTGAATGGTACGAATTAGTATTCGAGATCCAGCTCTGTAGACTGTGCGGTCATGACTCACTCCTGAGGAATTTGCTCTTTTCTGGGACATACAAATAGGTTCTTTCTCAGATTCCTGCAGCTTAGAGTTCAGGCTGTTTCTCCCATATCAGTGCGAAAATGTGCAGTTTTGAAGTTCAGATAATTTATTCTCTTTGAAAGAAAATAGGATAGGTGAAATTCAACAGCAACCATTTTCCAACTCATTATGTTTTTTAAGACTTATTATACAACACATTAAATTTAGGTCATTATGGATAAACTGGTAACTGAGCAAGCCATGGATGTCATTTTATAGGTCATTTATAGACATTTCTCTATTTGTGTGTTGCAAAGCAAAGGAGTTTATTATATATACATATTTACCCATATTTTGCCATATGTAATGTGCTCTTGCGTAATAAGCACCCAAGTTTTTGGCCCAAACTTTCAGGAAAAAAATATTTCATTTTCATTTTTTAATTTAATTTTTAATTTATATATAAAACTGATTGTCATATTCCAGGGTATTATTTTGCATATGGATATTGTTATTGCTTTCTAGAGTTACACTTTTAACATGTAAGCATAAATAAAAGAATTAAAAACATTTATACAGATACTGAATTAGTACTACCCATGTATAATGTACATCCTTAATTTTCGCTCAGAAATTTGGCCAAAAAACTCTGCATTATACACAGCAAAATACAGTACTTCTGTGACATTTTCTGAATTGACTTAGACGCTTCAATTTTTTAAGTCTTGGAATTTTGCTTTAATTGCATGTGTGTGTGTGTGTGTGTGTGTGACAAAGTTTTCAATCTGACTGAAACTTTTTTCTCCTAAAAACATTCTCTAATCTCAGTGTCATAAATGAACTGGGAGCTCATACGAGTAGATGGAAATGTGGAAGTGTTCATATTCGTTACAATCGATAACATCCAAAGCAGTGAGGACTTCGTATTTCAGGCTTTCTTTTGTACTAAGCACCAGTTTACTAAAAAATAATGAAAAGTCAGTATAGTAACTGTTGGAGAATTCATTGTACTTTCAGAGCAGATAAAAAGGGGTGAATGAATCCCAAATGGTAGATGTGAGTGTCTCATAGTTTTTCTTTCAAGTATATTTTGAGAACTGAAAGTATATCAGGAAAAAAGAGAAGTACGTAAGCTGTGTTTTGAGTGGATGTGGTGTGGTGGCCCTTAGGAATTCGATATCTCAATTTCAAACACAATGGAAGAAAACAAAGAGATTTGAGAACCACAGGAGTTCCGAACTAATACTCCACCTTTGGGACTTTGAAAAACCTAGAAAACACAAGTGCTTTATATGTTCAAGCAACTTGCACTGAATTTAAATGTTTCTGTTTGCCTTTCAGTTAGCAATTGACTATGGGATTAAATTCCTGGAGACAAGTGCAAAATCCAGTACAAATGTAGAAGAGGTAAGAAAGAAAGAAAGGTTTGGTGTCTTGTGCCTTTGTTCAAGCAGTGCTCAAAGCCTTGTGTTTTTCTGACTTAGTGAGTGCCTCATGTGAACTCTGCCTCCTCTGTGTAAGCTTTGACCTTTATGTGGGTCCCGGTTGTTGGATTTCTAGCACCCAGCCTCCACGTGGAATGTATTTGATCGCTCAGTTCAGATTGACTGACAGAAGATAGACATTCAGTTTAAGGTTAGTTTTGCCCTGTATTTCAGAAGCTGGAGATCCCACACTAGCTGACCAAGTGCAGTGCCTTCCTCTGCTCATTTATCATTGTTCATGTCACCCTATGGCAGCCTGTAGCAGCAGAGTCTTAATCTCACTTGAGAGAGAGAAAGAATTAAACTGTCAGCTCATTGAACAGATTCCCTTAGGTGCATGTTTGAAGTAGATTAAGCATGCTACATTGTAACATGATAGCTTTTAGTAGAAATAAGAAAGTGTTTATCAGAGTACTTTAATAAATTTTCAAGACATTAACTGATGAAGGAAACCAAATCAGTCTAAAGTCTTCTAAGAATAGATTTTCTTTACCAAAGGTAGAATTGTTAATACTTTTTAAAAACAGATCATAAAAATATTACATGTAATAGGTTTTAATACATGTAATTCACTTAACAGTAATAATGATGATTTTGTAAACAGTTAATTTCTAGAGCTACTTACTGTTCACCAATTCATCATGGCTTAAAGTTAAGGCTTAAGTAACTATTGGATAGTGGATACCGATCAGAACTTTTTCTTGGTTTTGAATAAAACCCATTTTTTCAGGTTGGCTAATGGGTGTTAGGAAACAGGGCCCCTACTGATTTATTTACATGAGCATGGATAAGCAGAAAAATGCTACCTTCTGCTTGCTACCAGAGGATTTCCTTCCATCAGAAAGAGGGGAGCCTCTTCCATCAGCTTTCATGGTGAAGTGGGAGAAAAGCTTGTGCACTGAGATGGCCCACGTGGGTTTTCTCCCTCCGAATGAACTCGGACCCGGGCCTACTGGGGTAGGCTCGGGTCTCCATCAGTGTCTGAACCCTCATCACACCTGCAGCTTAGAGAGACATTGAGTTACGGGAATGTGGAGCTGGGAGTAGCCTGGGCTGCTTATTCTGGCCTGGTTTTCTGCAGAAGTTAGCAATTTTCCCAGAGCTTTAACTTAGTGTGGTTAGCCTCGTAAAAACTGGGGTGGGGTCGTTTAAAAATTTACACTCACAGGTAACCAGTGTGACAGTGACACACCACTAGTGTGTTGCTTCTGTGTGACTTGATTGGAAATAATCCTTCTGCAGAATATTTTGGGGCCTCTGGCATGGTTGGGAACAGAGAGGCTGGCATAACAGTGGGTTTAGCACAGAGACCACTGAAGAAGCTTTGAGAGGCTCTGCTCCCTAGAAACAAAGTAGGGGTGGATAGCAGGGTCAGACATGCGTGATTTGGGGCCACAGACACTAGGCATGAAATGTCACTGAGATAAGTCAGATTTGTTCTGCTGGCGTTGAAACTGATTTCCACTGTGGCAGATTCAGCTGAGCTGCTGGCACTGTCAGGATTCTGGGATGTTAAAATTGTGTATGTTCTCAGGTATAAGAGTGAAAGTGATTTGAAAGAGAGGACATTGGGAATAAAAGGCAGAGATGTTTGTAAAAACAGCTTTTACAGGTACAGGGTAAACCGTATCTATTCGCTTGCTCATTAAACACATACTCAGCATCTCCTGGACCAGACACTGTGCCGCTCTGGGTATGCAGGGGAGGCTCCGACGGAGCCCCGCCCCCGAGCTGCTGTCGGTGTGCTGAGGAGGCGGCGTGTAACCCAAAAATGTGTCATCCAGGAATTTGGGTCAGATATTATGTGTGGAGAATATTTGATGGATGAATGACAATTCGATAATATTGTAAATACTTATGATGTGATTGAAAAATAAGATATGGTAGTCATGTGTATACTATGATTACAGTTATGTTTGTTTTTCAACTAAAGGCTTTAAAATAATAAATACAGGATGAAAACATTCTATATTTCTATTTTTAAGATATAAATATATAATAATGCAATTTTTGGTTTACCTTTAGGCATTTTTTACACTTGCACGAGATATAATGACAAAACTCAACAGAAAAATGGTTTGTATCACTTACAATTTTTATTTTCATTATGCAGTTTATAAATTTGTTTTATTTGTGCTGTGTATTTATTTGATTAAAACGATGCGCTTGATTACACTATATTCACATTAACTCATCCTTCCTTGACTCACATGTTCACCTGGTTGCGCGTTGACTCTACTTTCTTCGGGTTTCTCATTTCTGAACTGTGGCTGTTTCAGTTCTTCCATCTGGCTCATTAAGTGGACTTAATTGAATTTTGATCTGAATAGTCAAAATGATAATGGCACAAATTAGATTGTTGCCATAGTATTATCTAGTTCAGTTTTTATGTGACATATAATTATATGTAATTATGATCTTGAAGTTGCTAAAGTTTCCTTGAAACTTATTTTAACCTGAATTCTGAGTGTAATTGTATACCTAATGTAACCAACCCTTCTTACCTCTAACACAGGATTGCCAATATCTTAACACTGCTTCCATCATTACACTTGAAACTTTGGCAATGATTTCTTGGAATTGGAAATGGGCGCTTCCTACCTGATATTAATATGTATAAAAAGTGCTATCCTAAAAATATATTTCTCATTTTAATCCACCATTTCCAAAGAAACCACCATCAGAGCTTAACCAGTTCCTTTTCTAATAAAGTAATCTACTGAATACACATTTATGGTATGGTTTGGAATTGTTATGATTTAGATAATTGGGGTCAGATCATGAAACTTCTGGGTAACTTTATCTTCTGTGTTTTAGAATGACAGCAATTCATCAGGGGCAGGTGGACCAGTGAAAATAACAGAAAACCGATCAAAGAAGACCAGTTTCTTCCGTTGTTCGCTACTTTGATGAACTTTCTCTGAGAGACTGCAGCGCGCCCAGAGGACACTCTCCCGCTTCTCTGAAAGCACAGATCACCCAGCCTCAGAGGCACACCGCCAGGCTGCTGCTGAGAGCACCCCCACACCCAGACCTCTCTGCGCGGAACGCGCAGGGACGCCGGCCTCCTGCCCCTCAGGATCACAGGCTCCTTTTTCAAACATGGAAGCAATGATATGGAGACACATGCAAGACTTGCTTTTTCCCTTTGTTTTACTTCCTGTTGCAGAAGCTGCTCGCTCTTTTTCACTTTGCACTCAGTGTCAGCCCTTCCCTGTTATAGACCCGTATGCGCACACTTTTGCCTCAAGTTCTAGACACAGTTGTGCTTTAGGGGATGTTCATACCAAGAGTGGAGCTTTGAAAGCAGAGGTCAGTATACTAAAATTAAAGGACACCTGGTCCTGTTCATACGACTAGGTGTTACTGTGTTCATAGCATTTATTTAAGGTCTCTGATTTGTGATTTTCTTAAATAAGAACCATTAAATTCTGATAAAATTTAACTTGAAAATTTATAAAAATGCTCAGCTATTCATCAGAGGCCATAATTTCTGTATTTCTTATTATTTAGTGCTTTGCTTCATTCCTAACCTTTTTGCCAGTGAGTCTGGATAGCTGAATAAATCACTTTTTTCAGTTAATTCCCTCTACCTGATCTATAAAACTGCACTGGGAAATTACATTAATCTCATTTTTCCCGAGGTGTGTTTTTGCTCTCTTTTCCTGTGCTTGACCTATTGCAGCCACTCAGTTATCCAAAACATAACCTGTTTGACCCCTGTTGTCTGTTTCTTGTCGTCGAGTTCCTAGTTGTGAACTTGTGGAGCTGGAACTTTACATGGGCAGAGAGGTGCACCATTTAGGGTTTTATTTCGGCATCCGTGGTTCCACTGCATCAGCACACATGTTTTTTCTTCGGTTTACTTCTCAGCTGGCTGGTGTAGTCATAATACCTAGTTCCCTTTCTATAAGAGTTAATGGGATGTAGATTTAGATTTTAGTCTGCAGAAAGCTTACCTGTAGGGAGAAAGACTAACTTGTTAACATAAATTTAGTAGAGATAGCTCTTGGTAATGGTGAAAACAATGTTTTTTTCTGGTTTTACTCGAGCTTTTAAAAAAAAGTAATTAGACCTAGTACATCTCTAAGAAAAGTCTTGCCTTTTCATTAGAGAAAAATATGAGCAAGATTTCAGCTTTAAAGTAATTACTGTTGAATGTGTAGAACCCAGTTCCATCTGTTCAGGTTCATTGTTACAGAACTTGGTCTAGTCATTTGGGCCAAAGCCAACCAAAAGCTTAGCTGCCATTCTCACGAAGCACTGGTGTTGGTATAACTTTCGTAGATGAAACCATCACATAAGAAAGGTACTTAGTGTTAACTTACGTGCCAAATTAAGACCATTATGTCGTTGCTTTTATTCTAGCCTTCAGTGTCATCAGGCTGAAGGGAGTAGTAAAGAGGTGAAGAAGGAAATGAGTTCTGTTGGTAATTACGCTTCCTCTTAGGCCTGCTTTGTTTCACAGAGTTCACCATCATGCTTGAGGTTAAGAATGGGAAATGAAAGTGGAGACGGACTCTGTCACCACAGAGAATGCAGCTTCCAATTCAGATGTATCATTAAAAGGCTTGAACTGCTCAACCTTTACTACTTGGTTGAAAACTTATGCACAATTTAGCTGCGGCAAATATTCCAGAGCTATTTTTGATGGATACACTAAACTTACTGTTAACAAAATTTAGCCTTAAAGGCACCTGGTGGTGTCCCAGTGATGCAGGCCGTTCCTCCACTGGGTGTTGACTGCAAGTCTACCGTCTTAAAATTAGATGTTTTTGGAAAGAAGAAATAGTTTCTTAGAAACATTTTGTATCACTAATTTTCTGAAAAAAGATCTGAGCAGTTAAGCTTTCTGGAGGGTAACAAAGTAGTTTCTAAAAGGCAAGTGCTCTGACACCACGTATGAATGTAATTCTCTTAGTAAGTTACCTCCGACTATTTGGTGTCTTAACACTTTGATTTATATCTCAGGGGTTGTCTGCAAACCAAAACTGACATATTCTGTGGTTAGCCTTTTTTTTTTAATTTTTTAATAGAATGCTTGGCTTTTGTTTTATTCCTTCTCTCTTTTGTCTTATGTAGATTAATAAGTAGTCTCCATGAACTTCACTTTGAAAAAGCCTGTAAAAGCTAGATACGTCTAAAGGTGCTCTTTGAAGTAGCAGCAAATTGGGGGTATATTCTCTGTTATATAGAAATAAATCTTCCTTGCTATTTTCTTACATTTAGTCTTGCTAAATTGTATATAATTTGAGCTAAGAACATAGGAATTTCACCTTCTGCATGGTAAAATGACCCAATAAATATTCCATTTTGCTTAATAATGTACATATAGTGCATTATTTTTTCTATCTGTAGATGAATTTAGTGAGAGATAATTGTCTGTTCCCTGCTGAAACTGAAGAAATCTAGTTTTAAGTGAACATTTTTGTGGTCTTAGGGATCAGGTACATGAAGATTTTTGCAGCAGTATTAGTGGTGTCCAGTGGCCGCACTTTATTATCAGTGCGCTGATTTCTGCCAGTGATTGGACTAGACCTTTTCAAATAGCGTCTGAGGGTATCAGACAATGAAAATGTGCTGTAACTAAGTAGCATGTAAATCAGTTGGTTGTAAAATGTTTCACTGGGAACTTATTTTAGCTATATTTTACTTCAGACAGATTATAAGAAAATAACCCACCTGTGCATCAGTTAGGAGGTGCCGCAGGGTTTCTTACTATTTACATGAACATTTTGTGCAGTCTTTGTTATAAATTTTCAGAAGACTATACTCTTTACTTTGAAGGACTATTTTTAATTATACCTCATTTAGCTAACTAGTATTCTAATACCTGATAGGAAAACAGTGAGCCTGCCTTTAAGCATCCAACACAATTTAGATTATATGTTTTGTTTCGAACTCGGGAAAGGTAGCAGGTAGTTTAGAATAGAACACACGTGTCATATCTAATAGTGCAAAAGAAAAGTATTATCTCCCTGTCTCCATTAATAAATTTAGCTGTGCAATATAGATAAATGTTTGCAGAAATTTCTAAATAAGAGATTATAACTCCATTTTATAGGTTCTAATCCTGAGAGTCTGTATTAAGGCTTATAGAAAGTTTTCCCTGTGAACAGTGACACATTGAAGCAGATTTTCTTTTCTAGTTCATGACTTGGATTTCTTTATAAATTTAGTTCTTAATCTTTAAAGATGAGCTTCTAAGCTTAACATTTTAAAACAGCACTTCATTATGTTAGTTTACTTGCCTCGGGTTTTAAGCAGTCGTTTCTGCCATCAGGTTTTTTAGAGTTTTTATTTTAATGGAAAACACATTCCTTTTTCCTTCTTGTTATAGCTAAAGAAAGGGGGAAGGAATGTCTAAAAATGAAATTCCTTGTCCTAGAGAAACCTAGAGAGACAGGGCATGCTAATAAAATTTCAAATGCCAGTACAATTTTACAGTAGAACCAGTCTTTTATAAAAGACTAATAAAACTAATGGGTGTCATGCTCACTAGGAAAGAAAATCTAAATTACTAAAATTTACAGAAATGAAAATTAGCAAACAATTATTTTTAGGGATATTTTCACATTTTACTTTAGTTTTTAAAATGCTTGTACCGTATGCAGTTGCATTTTTTTATTGCCAAGAACTAATAGAATGTCTTGCTTCATTTTCTTACCTTTTTTAAAAATGTGAATTTAATTATTATAACTCATTCCTATGGCCTTACAGATGGGTTTTATTTTATTTGCAGCCGACACTGTAGTTCCTTTAATGCAAAGAACCATAAACTGTCTGACTGAAACTATGCCCCTAATGGAAAATACCTAGTTTTTCCATAGAACTATCCTACTGTGTGTGCTTCAGTGTATTTTATTTGGCTCCGAAGGCTTCATGTGAAAGGCTCCTGCAAATGAAGTGCACCTGTCCTGTGGTTAATCTCGCTTAAGCCAATTCATGAACTGTGTACTGATACTGATGCTGTGTGATTTTTTTTTAAAGGATTTTATTCCAGGTGAACTTTTTTTTTACAATAATGTTCATCTAAAATAAAAAAAAATACATAATGAAAATCATGACTCTCTGAAATGGGTTGTACGTTTGAAAATCTTTCTTCAAATGCATGCGTGTGACTCGAACCATGGCACTTTCAGCAAGCTTTCTGACTTAGAGTTGTTTAAAGACGAAAATAGCCACATCTCCTGCTCATACCTCGTTCACTGAGATTACTCTGTGATAGAACTGCAGCCTTCCGTGGCTCATCTTTCCCTCCTTAGACCTCGCATGTTTTGTTTCTCGTGCTTGGTTGTCATTTCCAAATAACATGGTAGTTCTAGCGCCCCAGCCCTGATGGTGGTCTATCACTAGCTGTGCACTTTGCCAGTCGTGGCCTTCTGCCTTCGTCCCCACAACCAGCTCTAGCCTTCGCTGTCCTTCTCCAGCACCTTGCTTCCTTCCTTTCACTCTTGGTAGACACATCTTTAAACTCCAGTCTCATGCCCCCTGAGCCGCCTCACCCTCCCCAACCTGTAGCCTCCTCGGGCTGGCTTCGCCACATCTACCCTCATCCTCGCCTCCCTCCTCTGTCAGAGGCACTCCTCCTCCTCCGTGCTTCTCTCTGCCCTTCTCTGGATTTATTCCCTGCCCTTCTATTCTGCGTCTCGGGAAACTCACAGCCATGATATCTTCAAATTCTTATTCTGTGTGACCCTTTCCCCTTAGCATCTAAGCATCCCTAACTCTCCCACGCCTTTGCCTCACGTCCCTCCCGCCTATTGCTCTTCTTCCTCTTCTTTTTGCCGTAGCTAAGCTTCTTCAAAGGGTTGTCTATGAATACTGTCCTCATTGTCTCATTTTCCTTTATTCCTCAGCCTACTCCAGTTTGGTTTCCTCCCTGTCACTTCACTGACATCGCGTTTACAACAGCCTAGTTGTGAAAAAGTGGCGGACAGTTTTCTGTCCTTATCTTGGTTAACTTCTTGGCAACATTTTACCAGTATATTGCTCCCTCCCAGAAATGTTCTTCTCCTTTAGCTTCTGGGACAGTCTTTCCCAGTTTTCCAAAATAATTTCACCCACCCTGGCTGGGTAGGTCAGTTGGTTAGTGTCATCCTGATACACCAAGGTCGTGGGTTCTGTCTCTCATCGAGGTATTTGTAAGAAGCAACCAATGAATGCATAAATAAGTGGAGCAACAAATCAATGTTTTTCTGTCCCTTTTTCCTGTAAAAATCTATTTTAAAAAGATTCAAAATAATTTTGCCCTTTTTTATGGCTCTTAGATGTGTTTCTGAATGATAGCCCCAAAAGATGTCCATGTTCTAGTCCCCAGAACCTGCGAATGTTACTTTATGTAGCAAAAGAGACTTGGCAGATGTGATCTTGAGATGGGAGATTATCCTGGGTTACCCAGAAGGGCCCAGTGTGATCCCATAGGGGCTGGTCCCTATGAGAGGAGCACAGGAGGAGTCGCAGTTAAAAGGAAATGATGTCATGGAGAAAAGGTGTGATGCAGGGCTCAGCCAAGGGACATAAGTGGCCTCTAGGGTCTGGGAAGGGGAGGGAAGAGATTTGCTGCTGAAGTCTCCAGAGGGAACCAACCCACCCCTGACAGCCTGATTGTAACCCGGTACAATCGGGTTACAATCATTTCATAATTCTGGCCTTCAGAACTGTAAGTAAATTTGTGTTGCTTTAAGCCACTAAATCTGTCACAGCAGCAATAGGATATTCGTACAGCTTTCAAATTTGTACATATTGCCCCGACTTCTTTCCAAAGAACCAGACTTCAAAGTCAGTCTGCCTTCTGGACCTCTCTCCCCTTGGATCTGCCCCAGGCACAGCAAACGACCCGCTCTACCTCACACTCAGGCCTCCGCCCTTCCCCCATTCCCAGCAATTCCCCCCAACAGCCCTTGGTCCCAGGAGGGGAAACTCGCTCTTTGTTCTCCTTTCCCCATTATCATCTACCTAGTTAACCAACCTCCAAGTCTTAGGGGTCCCAGCTCCTCCATCTTGCTGATCTGTAGTCATCCATTATTTCTCCCTTTGTCTTTGTTCAGGCCTCCTCATCTTTTGCCTGGATTTCTACAGCTTCTCCTAATCAACATCCTAGTCTCTAATTTTATTCAGCTTCAATCCAGTTTAAACAGTGCTGACAGGTTTTTTAAAACTGGAATCTTATACCACCGCCAAATTTTATTCTTCAGTGCTACTTCATAACCTTGGGGTGAAATCTAAACTCTTCAGCCTGGCGAGCAAGGTCCTTGCCATCCTTACATCTTTCTCTTAGATCTTGTCACAACTTAGCTCATGAACGTCACCAGGAAATGCCATTCCCTTAAAACATGCTTTGTCATTCCTTTGCTTAGGCTGCTCCTGCTGCTGACTTCCTAGGCCTTTCCAGCTAACTTCTCCTTATCTTTCAAGACTGGGTAGGGGTTTTTCCTGGGAAGATTTCAGTCACAACTCATCTCTGGTTAGTCCCCTCCTGTGCCTGCCCAAAGTGTTACTGCACTGGGTTTGAATGGTCTGTTTACCCTCCTTCCCTATGAGACTCTAAGTTCCTATAAGGGTGGGGACCGAGCCCTTGGTTTTTGTGTCCACGCTACCCATTAAGGAGCCTGGGACATAGTAGGTGTTTAATAGATCTCAAGAGAATCAGTGAACTTAAGCAGTTGTCAAAATGAACATGTCACTGGAGAAAGCTGAGTATAATTTAGGAGATGTTTTGTTCACCATTTATTTCTCAATTTAAAGAAAGATTTGAAGGAAATTCACCAATGCCTTAGTAAGTATAGCAATAAAAAGAGAAACTTCATTCTCTGGCTTTTATTTTGGCCCTTACCTTACAGTACTTTAATCTTTGTTAAATATCTTACACTTTTAAAATCTCTATTAAATACAGAAGTATTTCCTTTTAATAAGCTAGATCACCTAGAATGCTGTTTATGAATTGATATATTGAGTAAACCCTCTCTACCCCTTTATTCATGTTTCCTGTATTCAAAATTTAGGTTTTCAACTTGGTCCCAGGGGTATATGATAATGCCCCCAGAGCAAATAAAATGCATATTTATTAATTTAAAATATATAGGCTTCTGGTCAAGATGGGGGAGTAGGCAAACGCTGTTTGCCTCATCTCACAACCACATCAGGATTACAGCTAAATTATAGAACAACTATCCTTGAGAATCACTTAAAGTCTAGCTGAAGAGACGTTTTATAACTAAGGACATAAAGAAGCAGCCACACTGAACATGGTAAGCGAGGCAGAGACAATGAAACAGGCTGTTCTCACATCCACATGTGGTGGTTAAGAATCAGGAAGGATACCTTGGCTGCAGAGGTCCCCACTGAGAAATGAGGGGTTCCCACTCCGGGCTCCCCACCCTGGAACACCCCAGCCAGGAAGAGGAATTCCTCACAACAGCTGGCTGTGCAAACCATCAGGAACTCTAATGTCCTGTTCAAGGGCCTCGAACACAGACTCACCGCCAACACTCCAGTGAAGAGACAGTAGCTGGAGAAGCTTCAGGGACATGTGGGGAGGAACTAAATTGTTTGGCTTCAGGCAAAGGGCTGGAGAGGCAGCTTTCTCCAGGACTAAAGTGCACACAGGCACTATTATTCCTTTGTTAAGCTCACCCCCCCACACACACACACATACACACATCCAGCAGGTGCAGGCAGGAATCGAGTCTGAGTCTCCATTAACTTCTCTTCCCTGACCCTGAGACCTGCCCCCACACAATTCTCATGCCTGGCCTGAACCTCTCTGAGAGGCCAGTCTGCACAAGGGCTGTCCTGGGCCCACACTGAAGACTTTCCTAAAATCTCTCAAAGATCCACAGACCACAAACAAGCAGTGGCTGTCCTTGCTGTGCCCCATACCTTTTGCTAAATGTCCCCAAGCTGGACACTAGTGGCAGCCGACCTGGGGTCACAGTGTAACCACTCCTAGATGCCTCCAAGCCAAGCACAAACAGCTACCAACTGCAGACAGTAGAACCTTTTTAGGTAGAACCCAGGTGACCCTGGGTCCGAACACAGGCAGACACTGACTTTGGCGTGCACTGGAGCCCCTCCCAAGAGGCTTCAGAACACACCGGAGCACCACCCAATTAGTTTCATAAATGACACCTCAAAAGTGGACTCAGCAGGCACCAGAGCCCCGCTAAAGCAAGATTACCCAGCAAGCCAACCATTTAGAATCAGAGGACACGTAAAGAGCTTCCCAGACAAGAAAAAGCTGAAGGAGTTCATCACCACCAAACATTGTAAGAAATGTTAAAAGGGCTTAATCTTTAGAAGAAAAAAAATCAATACAAATAAAAAATATTGCAAAGAAAAAAATGTCACTGACAAAGGCCAAAAAGAGCAATGGATTAACCAACATAGTACAAAGGCAAAAATAGGAAGATCACGTGTAATTACAAACTAGGAGATACACACAAACACACACACAAAAGAAAAACAAATGTAAATATGCAGAGGCTGAGTGAAAATTCTAGACTGTTTAAATTTAAGTGACCATCTACTTAAAAGAGACAATGAAACAGGCTGCTGTTATACTGCTATAAACATAGGTTGGTATGTATGAAGCCCATGGTAACCACAAACCAAAGATCTGTAAGAGATATACTAGAAATAAAGGGAATGAAATCCGAACACAGCACCGCAGAAAGTCATCAACATGCAAGAGAAGAGAGCAGGAGAATAAGAAAGGAACAGAGAACTACAAAAACAATGCCCAGGCTTATCGCTCGTCCTTCTCACATTTCTAGGACACCCTGAACTCCTTTCTTTCACTTTGAGGCCTACTCCCTTGTCCTTCCATTTCTTCCCTACTTCCTAGTTTTGCTGACTTCGAAGATGAGACCTGAATGGGTGAGTGTTATTGTTACCAAAACTCACAAGTTTGGGCTGGGTGCCCCTTCCCCTTCCTGTATATTCTAATAGCATCCTATACCTGCCTGGCTGGCTTCCCCACTAGACTGTAAGCTCCATGGAGACTGGAGCGCCTCTGTTTCATTGGTGTATTCCCAATGACCAGTATTTTAAAAAAATATTTTATTTATTTATTCAGAGAGAGGGAGAGAAACATGAATGTGTGGCTGCCTCTCATGCACGCCAAAGCCCACAACCCAGGCATGTGCCCCGACTAGGAACCGAACCAGTAAAATCCTTGGTTCACAGGAGTTTACTGGCCAATTCACTGAGCCACACCAGCCAGGGACATTTTTTTTTAAAGGAAACTTCTCATAAGTGCCCTGACTGGGGACCAAATACAGAACCTAGGCACATGTCCTGACAGGGAATCAAACCAGTGAGTGACCTTTCGCTTTGTGGAACGACACCCAACCAACCAAGCTCCCAAGGCCTCGCATTATGCCTGATTCTTAGTAGGCATTCCACATGCATTTTGAATGGATGAATAAAAGGCTTGTGTGAATATACATCTATCAGCACTGCAAGAAAACAAAGCTCAAGTGAATTCATCACTATATTGTGAATTACCCGGTAGCTCCGTGAAAGCCTTACTTGATAAATTGCTAAAAGGTGATATTGCTTTTGCCCCTCACCACCAACACACACCCAGTTCTGAGGGATTACCAGACTTGGTATTCATAGTGTATGCTTACCTCCTTCCCCAAGTCATCTTTTAAGGATTTAACTCCCCAAATCACTTAGTACCCTTATATTTTTAGGTCTTGGGGGAAAACTAATGGTACATTCATAAAAACTTAAGAAGTTAATAGAACTGTTACTTAGCCTGAAATTTCTCATTTGTAAACAGAATTGTTGAAATCAGTGCAAAGTGCTTTTTAAACAGCCATTTAAGGTGCCATTATTCAGAGAAAACTTGAAATAAGTTTTTCTAGTAAATAACCATAAACCCTGAAGATGACTATTTTATTGGTTACATTGCCAGTTTGGTGTAGTTGCTTCCTTCTTTTCTATTCCAACAGACATCAGTTAAAGATGTCTTTGCAGATGGGCGGGAGAGGGGAGACTCATTGTATTTTCCATTGCCTTCCCATTTTTTAACTGCACTTGGGGACTCAGACTGAACTGAAATATGGTCAAGATGGCATAAATAAACATCCCTGTGACTCAGCTCTGCATGTTGAATTGCCAACTTACAAAGTATTTCATGCAGTTTTAACTGAGACATAGTAGACCATGGTTAAAATTTAGATAAACAAAGTATTAAAATAGGGATAAAAGAATAAGTCATATTCAGACACCATAGCAGTAATTATAATAAAAAATAGTCGCTATAATTGACTATTAAATTTAGCTCCATGCTTCTTGGGAGTCAAGGTAAAGCCTGAGTGTGACGAGTTAGCTCCCGAATGATGTATATGGATTTGTCAGGAGAAACAAAACTTTTTTCTAGCCCCGAACTCAAATAGTAAACCATGGATCTATACAGATGTTGAACAATGATAATCAGTTTGAGAAAATATGCAGGAAAAATTGTAGATGGCCATTTCTTGTGTAAAAGTATTTATGCCGAGGACATGAACATATTATGCTTCTGTGCTTCTGTGAAGGCATTTCTGCACAGACCTGAAATATTGGAATTGCATTTGATGACTTTGATTCAGGATAGACCCCAAAGAATCTATCTAATGGTGAGTCACTCCACCACTTTGAAATGTTATCCCAACCTCAGTTTTGATAGATGCTGGATATTTCAAAATGAATATTTCCATTTACTTCCCTGTGAACAGAAATACATATATGTTTATATTAAATGGGCAAATGTGATATTTTTAAATACCTGCAGTTGTCTTATTTGAGGGACCATTTCCAGAGGTGACCTGCAAAACATCTTCATCTAGGTCCCAACTTTTGCCTACTGGTGTTTTTCTTTTCAATGTTAATTTCCAAGAGCTTTATTCAGGATAGACATTAAAAGAAGGAGTAAGAATGGCTAACACACAGCACTGATATACAAATATGATCCTCAGAATAACCCATTAGTTATTATTTATATTACTCCCATTAAACATGGGGAAAAATTCTTAGATGTGAATGATCAGAGAGCTTACCTTCTGGTTTTAATTTTCAAATCTCTCAGAAAATTTAAAATTAATACAAAATAGCAAATGTTTCCAATTTTTATATTACTTCATTAACTGAACAGATATTTATTTAGTGAGCAGTACCTTCTAGGTGCTGTGGCAACAATAAAGAACAAAACAAAGCCTCTGCCCTCCAAAAGTTTGTTTTTAATGAGGGAGACAAATGAGCAACAAAAACAGGGCAAGAAGATATTACCATTACTTTTGTGAAGACTCGGGGGTGGGCGTGGGGTGGGGAACAAATAAAACCAGCTGTCCAACACAACCTGAGGACTGCCGGTTCCACCACTGTTTCATCCCTGTACTCTCTCTGTGGGTTATCATCTGGTGCCGTTAACCCAACTTGGGTTTTATACATGATAAAGTACGAAGTTCTCAGAACTATGCAAATGAAAAGATTTGCTTAAAAAAGACCTTTTATTTAGAAATGGAAACCTGTCCTGCGCTGTTTTTCTTTAGTTGTTTTGGAATCTTAGGGGAGGTCCCCAGTCCCTTCTGGGGACCTCCCCTTCCTTAGCATATGGCAGCTGGCACATAATGGCCTGATTATATGTTCCTGTAGTAAGATGCAAACAGGGGCGCTACGACTCCGGCACTAAAGTCGTCAGCTAACTCAGCCGCTGAATCCAAGAACCGCAGCTCTATCTGGCTGGGCCCCCAGAAGCTGGATAGGACTGAGAGCCCAGAGGTGAGGCCCGGCGCCCCGCCCCGCCCCGGCGCCCCGCCCCTCCTCGGCGCCCCGCCCCTCCTCAGCCCCCGCCCGCCTCGGCGCCCCGCCACGCCCCGGCGCCCCGCCACGCCCTCGCACGCCACGCCACGCCCCACCACGCCCGCGACCTCGCTCTGCACTCCACGCCACGCCCGCGCCCCACCCCGCGTTTAGCTCTGCTTGCGCCTGGGGCGCTAGTGCACCTAACGTCCCTGCCAAGCCCCGGGCCGGCTTTAGCGGTCGCCATGACGGCAGCGGTGTTCTTCGGCTGCGCCTTCATTGCCTTCGGGCCTGCGCTGGCCCTTTACGTCGTCACCATCGCCACGGAGCCTTTGCGCATCATCTTTCTCATCGTCGGGTGAGGCGGTGGTACTGGGAAACCCAGACCCGGGACTCCCCTTTCCCCGGAGGGTACTGGCGACCCCCGGCGTCCCTACCAAACTGCTGGACTATGTTGGGTTTTGGAGGAAAGAAGGGTTGAGATGAGATCCGAGACCCTGCTCCTCTGGGACTCCTCGCCGGCCTCCAAGGGTCCGTAGGGAAAGGATTAGAGACCCAGGACCCCAGAAAGCGGGCTCTGGGGAAGGAGCTCACATTGTGGGTCTCAGAAAGCCCTGCTACTTTGCTCCTGAGTTTTTGCGTAGTGTCCGTGGGTGAGTTATAGTGAGTTGTGAAGTCACTTAAACTGTATGAAAAAAATGTGGATAAATTCTAATATGCATGTTTTATTTTTCTGGACACAGGGGTCCTACATTAAGAATTTAAGGTTCTTACAGGCTTCTGTAATCCCACAGCGGTTAAGAGCCATAGCGCCTGCGCATCGGTGCTTTAAAACATATGGATGCCCGACACTACCCCAGATCAACTAAATTGGAATGCCTAGAGGGTGGGATTCAAGACGACGGATTTTTTTTTTTTTTAACTCCCCAAGTGATTCAGGTGTGCATCCAAAGAGTGGAAACCTGTACACACAGAAGCATCTGTCAGTCTCTTTTTAGGAGCTTGGTAAATACCGAATTCTGGTGGTGAATATGGTCATAATCCCAGTTTTCCTCTGCCTGGCAGCCCTTACTGAGGCTTCCCACGTACCCCTACACCCTTGATTCTCACTTGGCACCTGGAGAAACAGCCCCGGGAGGCCAGTGATGCTCACCTTTTCTGAGTTTCTTCACCTGTCACAACTGTATTGAAAGTGTCGCATCACATTATCATTTAACAAGCATTAGAGATTTGGGCAAAAGGTTATAACTTGTTAAAACTTGTTATAATTATTAAAATCCACAGGAATGCTGTAAAACTCAGGCCTGGAAAACTGCTCTAGATCAGAGTGCAGGTTTTTAACTTCTGGATTTTATACCAACCACTCTGTTAGTAGAGATGTAGACATTATTTTTCTGGAAAAGACACTTATATCGGCACATTAATGAGCAAAGCATTAATTAGGAAGAGTAGTAAATAAAGTTTTCAGCCAGACAGTCTTTGGCAGATAGTCTGTAGATACTTAAGAAATAATAGGATCACTTACGAAATAAAAGAAAAATGATTGTTCAGAAAAATCCCAGATTCCTCTTGGATTATATGTTTGTCTCACCAGGCAGAATTCACCACTGATTAAGAACAATGGATCCAGAGCATCACTTTACAGATACTTAAAAAAATTTAATCCTGTACTTATGTTTACTTGTGACTTTTCCCCCCTAATTTTCAGAGCATTCTTCTGGTTGGTGTCTCTACTCCTTTCCTCCCTTGTCTGGTTCATGGCAAGATCCATTACTGACAACAAAGATGAATCAACGCAGAAATATCTGCTGATCTTTGGAGTGTTAATCTCAGTCCTTGTTCAAGAGATGTTTCGGTTTGCATATTACAGACTTTTAAAGTAAGTTAAATATTTGTTGACCTTTTCTGCAGTTAATTTGAATTATGATTTAGTATTTTGAAACAATGTAATGGGGTACTTGAGGTGCCTTCCTTCATAGTTTGAAGCCAAGGGATTAGAACATTTCTAACCTGAAAATCCTGACTAGGTTAGCTTGTGGATATTTCTTCCTTCATTCACTCATTCAGAAATACTTTTTGAGAATTTACCCACTGTCAGTTGTCATTCTAGGGACTGGGAATACATCATGATTAAAAGACAGTTTTTGACCTCATGTTGGTTCTATTATAGTGGAAAGAAACCGACAACAAAAGAATGAATAAGAAAGTACATTATATGTTAGAAGATAAGTGCCATGAAGCAAAAAAAAAAAAAAAGCTAGAGAAATATAGAAATGACAAAAAAAGTTCCACTTTAGAATTTGCGTCAGCTTCCCTTTGCCACCTACTAAAAATAAATAATTCTTAAAGAGGTTATACATACCATTATTTTGATTGTATTAAGGAAAATAGGGGTTCGTTTTGTTATATTTAATGTAATTTCATAGCTGTAATAGAAAAACACATTTAAAAAAATAATGCATGTAAGTTCCCTTTAGGGAATGTTAGGCCAGAAAGTAGGTCATCTGGAATTCATGCGGACCTCACGTGAAACCACTGATTTGAAACACAGCTTGAACTTAGAACCATATTTTTTTTCAGGCAGTCATGAGATTGGCTTTGATTATTAGGTAGTAACACTTAGAATAATAAATGTGCTGTCTCTTAACATTTCAGCAAATGAGATAGTTCAACCACTCCATGAATTTTGTGGATGTAACGAAGATGGAACCTCACCAGTGTCTCTTAATTTGTTCTTGCTGATATGCTAGGCTTTCAACATTTTTTACTTATTGCTTTCAATAACAGGTATTGAAATTTAATAATGAAGCAATTTAAATTCAAATTGAAAACCATGAAGCCATTGCTAACAAGCAAAAGTCATATCTTAGAAAAAGTTTAAAAATGAAATTTCCATTAGTCCTTAGAAATGTTAAAAAGCAACCAACAATTATCAAAGATAAAATTTAAGTTTCCATGGGAACACAGTATCCTTAACAGATGGACATTCATCTGGTATGCAGCAGTTACTATCATTTCAAAATTAAATTTTACCATAGAGTATTATTAAGATAATCAATATCTTCCTTCTCCTGACCTTTGCCCCACTCAGGAACCACACAGTCAAATGAAGTCTCTGTCACATGGTAGTCATCTTGTCTCCTTCACAGCTAACCATTCCCCATTTCTTCACCTGGCCCTCAAATGACATGTCTGTGGCTTCCAAACGTTTTCCAGTCTCTGTTTTTTATGCCAGTAGCCACGTCCCTTTTTTCGGTGCCTGGAGTTTACCAGTGCTCAGGACCCAGCAGAGTCTTACTGTGGTCACAGTAGTGCGGAGGACAGCGGCCCTTCCCGCCCTTGACTGGCACTGTACTCTTTAAGAACTCAGCCTGAGACCACACTGGGTTTTCCTGTTGCAACATCTTTGGTTCATGTTGGTTGCATTTTCACATATGATGGTTCTAATTTTGAAGCAAAAGTTTGAATGGATTTTCACAGTTTAGGACATGGATTTAGTAAGCCTTAAGGACTTTAGGTTCTAAAACCTGACTTTCCTAGAGTAACTGAATAGATATCTGCTTGTTTCTTCACAGTTCCCATCTGAAATGCAACTCTTTATTGGCAATACCCGGTGGTTACAGAGGGCTACTCACTGAACATTGGTTGACGTTTTACTGAGGGCAGTGAGGGAACAGGGCCACATGCAGAGGAAATTATAGCCATCAGTGTGCAGGCTTTCATGCCAGCAAGTTCAGAGAAACCTGGCTTTCTGGAAAACCATGTTCATTGCTCCCGAAGGACCTTTGGAAATTTGCAAAAAGATATTAGGATAAACCTGTATTAATAGGTGCTTTTGGTTGTCTTTGCATAGTGCATCTTTAGCAAGCCTTTGGAATATTGTACAGTATCTTTCTGGCAGATTTTAGAAATGTTGGGTGTTATGTAGTTATGTGTTAAAACAAATTTGAGAATTGGAATGCCGTATTCATGGCTAATATTTATGTAGCCATGTAACATTTATGTATTTAAGTTCCTCTCTTATGCTGCACTGCATTCAAATATAGGCACTGGTTTAATCAATATTTCAAGTTTTCCACTGCCAAAGTACATTTCGAACATGTAAATTTAAAGTACTGCCTCAATAAAATTTTTGCTATCTGAATTTGATGCCAGGATGAAAATGTGGAGAGTTTGTACCAGTACTTTTTTATATATATTGACTTGAATCAAAATATTTATCATTGCAGTTTAATATGAATTTTTTTTTTATGGGCCAGACCTTGAGAATAGTACTTCATCTTGAATGAGTGAAATGTAACTTTCAGCCTTACAAAGAGTTGCACACTGAGAAATTGGCTTGTGGCCACAGGTGATAGCCCTTTCTACCTTAATTTCTTCTTAAAAAATCCAAGTTATGATCCTGTATGTTCATTGCCTAAAACATACATTAGAATTTTTTTCCTTGGATTGGAGCTTTTGCAGTTTTCAATTTTGTTTTGTAATGCTAATACTATAAATATTTGGTAATTTTAGAATCTGCCATTTATTGAAAGAGTTAAGGTAACCATTACTAAAATTTCTTAAAAAGCATAAGTAATTTTAGCCCTGGCCAGGTGGCTCAGTTGGTTGGAGCATGGTCCCATACACCAAGAGATTGCAGGTTTGATTCCTGGTCACGGCACATACCTAGGTTGCAGGTTCGATCCCCAGTCAGGGCGTGTGCGGGAGGCGCAGTCTATTGACGTTTCTCTCTCTCATCAGTGTCTCTCTCTCCCTCTCTCCCCCTCTCTGTCTAAACTCAATGAACATATCCTTGGGTGAGGATTAAAAAAAAAAAGAATGGTTAAAAGGCATAAGTAATTTAAAAAATTTCTACAATAGTGTATTTAATTTGTATGTACATTTCTTGGTACTATACCTCTTTTACACACACATGCAAAAAAGAACAAATGAGAAAGACAGAATGATTTACCAGTAGTGTTTCAAAGATTGCATGTAAGAAACTTGGGCTTTTTCTTTTTGGTTCTTGGAAACTATAGTAAATGCAAACAAAGACTTTTCCACTTCAGCACTGTGGTCATGTTAAGAACACTGTCTCTTACGTCATCAGTTGTGTGTTCTGTCAGGAACACGGAAGCCGATGGTGTTGTGTACATTTCACTTCCTCACCTCGACGTGGAGAACTATTAGTGCCATAGACCTTCCCCCCACAAACTTGTAATATAGAATGAGGAACTTTATTAACTCAACTTTATTGAGTGTATATATTTAATATATTTGTCATAGCAGGACTTTGCTATACCAAATAGCAAAAAAGCATTTATTCATTACTGGACAATTTATATAAAACAGAAGTTCTACAAAATTTATTGATTCTATTACATCATTATGTTCATTTGTCCATAGAGGTTATTACTACTACCCATGTTTCTAAGTGCTAAGTAGCGTTTAACAACATTCCGGTGACAGCTAAGTTTATTTTTTAGGAAAATTGGACATTTTAAGTAGTTACTGCTCCAGAGAAAGAAGTTGACAGTCATTGGCTCGTGTCTGTGCTACCAAATGACCCTATCAAATGGAAAACACTGAAATGGCCAGTTGTTTCTTTTGAGTCTAGAAAAACAAAAGACCTTTTCTGTTCTGCTTATTACTATTTTTGTTGAACTCTGCATTGCCTTTAATTTAATGATACTTATATTTACAGTCGATATAAGTTAAATATCTTTTGAGGCAGGATCCTTGTTGCAGGTTTCTAGCCAACAAGGGTTAGTAATAGTGACAGCAGTGAACTGACCGGCCACACCTTGCATTCCCGACACATCTGTGTTGGCCACAACAGAGGCACAGGTGTGATCACTCTGAGGATCATTTCTTATTAAACAATATTCTAATCATTCAGGTACTCATTTAGCTGCTTTTCTGAGGGTAGCATTTTCCTTTTTTTAAGATTTATTCATTTATTTCAATTTTATTTATTTATTTATATTGTTCAAGTACAGTTGTCTCTATTTTCCCGCCACCACTCCCCCCACCCTCACTTCCCACCCTCAATCCTTCCCGCTTTGGCTTTGTCCTTGGGTCCTTTATACATGTTTCTTGACGACCCTACCCCTCTTTTTCCCATTATCCCCCGCCTCCCTCCCCTCTGGTTACTCAGTTTGTTCTTTATTTTAGTGTCTCTGGTTCTATTTTGCTTGCTTATTTTGTTGATTAGGTTCCGCTTACAGGTGAGATCATGTGCTATTTGTCTTTCACTGCCTGACTTATTTCACTTAACATCATGCTCGCCAGTTCCATCCATGCTGTTGTAAAGGGTAGGAGCTCCTTCTTTCTTTCTGCTGTGTAGTGTTCCATTGTGTAAATGTACCATAGTTTTTTGACCCACTCACTTACTGATGGGCACTTAGGTTGTTTCCAGCACTTGGCTATTATAAATAGGTTTTTTTGAATTGGTGATTCAGGATTCTTAGGGTATAATCCCAGCAGTGGAACTGCTGGATCAAAAGGCAGTTCCATTTTCGTTTTTTGAGGCAATTCCATACTGTTTTCCACTGTGGCTGCACCAGTCTGCATGCCCACCAACAATATAGCAGGTTTCCCTTTTCTCCACAATCTCGCCAGCACTTACGGTTTGTTGATTTGTTTATGATGACCATTCTGACCAGTGTGAAGTGGCGTTTCATTGTGGTTTTAATTTGCATCTCTGCTGGCTAGTGCTGCTGAACATCCTTGCATATGTCTCTGGGCCCTTTTCATGTCCTCCTTGGAGAAGTGTCTCTTCAGGTCTTTTGCCCATTTTTTAATTGGATTGTCTGTCTTCCTGGAGTGCACTCATGTGAGTTCTTCGTATATTTTGGAAATCAGACCATTGTCAGAGGTATCATTTGCAAATATATTTTCCCATATGGTTGGTTCTCTTTTCACTTTGCTGATGTTTTCTTTAGCTGTGCAGAAGCTTTTTATTTTGATGTAGTCCTATTTGTTTATTCTTTCCTTTATGTCCCTTGCTCTGGGGGACATTTTACATGATTGAAAATTTGCTGTATTTTTGTTTAAATTGATTTTACATTTAGAGTATAACCATTGCAAATGCCTCAGTGAGTATCTCGATTTTGAAGTATCTTGTGTATTTTCCTGATATACTACTTTTTCTTTTAAAAAAAATTATCTGTGTGGTTTATTTTAGAAAAGCCAATGAGGGTCTGAAGATTGTAAACCCAGATGAGCCACCACCTTCTATGCGATTGCTGGCCTATGGTAAGTTAGAACTGCATAGCATCATTAAGAAAAAAAATCAAATTTGGCATAAAAGCCATTTTTATCTTTTATATCTTTGTAGATACAGTATTTGATTAGTGTCTTGGTCTGTTGGTGTACATTGTTTGTTTTTCTAGCTTTTCAGGCCCTTAGGTAAAGGGAAGTGATCACAGGTGTGTGTCCATTAAATATTAGCCAGAATTGAAAATTAGGTTTTTAACACTTTGGGTAATTAACAGTTTCTAAGTAAGGTTACTGCTACCTTCTCTGAGTGGTTACCAGGACTTTGGTTTTACTAGGAGAACTCTTTGTATTACTATAGTTAATACCTCTGCATAGTCTCATTTAGAATTGTGTTTTAAAGACTGGATCTGGGTGTGTAAGTTGAATCACCCAATTTGGCCCAGGGATCACTCATTACAGTGCACAGTCAGCCTTCAAGTGCAGCTCCCAGGTCCGAGCCTTCAAACCAGAATTCTGCAGGCTCTGCTGTCATAAGCTAAAGCCAGAGCTTCAGCATCATATACTTCTCTACCTCACCTGTTGCTTCTGTGCCTGCTAGATGTTTTCTCTCTCCTTTTTCTTTTCTCTCCGCTACATTCTATTACTCATTTCCTTTCCTCTCTACCCCCTTCTCACTGATGCATCATTTAGCCAAGCACTGGCCATTTCTGAGGCTGCTCTCCAGTGTTTCCCCAATGGCATGTGTACCCTTCCCCTCCAACAAAATAGTATTTCCTCGTCTTTGGAAGTTTTATTTGAAAACAAACCATGGCATGATTTGGGTTTTTTTGTTGTTTCTATGTTTCTTTAGTGTCTGGCCTGGGCTTTGGAATCATGAGTGGAGTATTTTCCTTTGTAAATACCCTGTCTGACTCCTTGGGACCAGGCACAGTGGGTATTCATGGAGACTCTCCCCAGTTCTTCCTCAATTCAGGTAGGTGCCTGGTAGCTGTGAATGTTCAGGCTTCTGGTCTAAATGATCATTTCCTTTTGGAGTTCCTGGCTTAGGAATTCAAGTGAATAGAAATTTATGTTATACTTTGTAAAGGCAAAACACTGTTAGACATCACAGGGTAAAGGACCTAGGAAAATAAAAAGTTTGGTTAGAGTATTTTAGAATTTTAGAGTGGAATTTAGCTTGTATAAAGTTTATTTTTATTTTATTATATTAACAGTGTTGCTATATAGTGATATATTATTACAAGTGAATTTTTATAGGCTATATGCTCTTTTTTGTTTTTATTAGTTTATATTTATCTTAATATAAGCCCTAATCTTTTTTTAAATTATATTTTATTACTTATGCTATTACGGTCATCCTGAATTTTCCCCCTTAGCCTTTCTCCACCCAGCAATCCGCACTCCCTCAGGCAATCCCCCACCTTTGTTCATGTCCATGGCTCATGCATATATAAACTCTATTTGGCTACTCTATTTCCTGTACTGCAATTTATATCCCCCTGGCTATTCTGTAACTACTTGTTTGTATTTCTTAATTCCCTCACCTCTTCACCCATTCCCTCACGCACCCCTCCCATCTGGCAGCCATCAGAATGCTCTCCATATCCACAATTCTGTCTTAGTCCTTCCTGTTTGCTTAGTCAGTTTTTTAGATTCAATTGTTGATAGATATGTGTTTTTGCCATTTTATTGTCCATAGTTTTGATCATTTTCTTAAATGAATGCTTTTAATATTTCACATAATAATGGTTTGGTGATGATGAACTCCATTAGTTTCTTTATTGTCTAGGAAGCTCTTTATCTGCCCTTCCATTCTAAATTATAACTTTGCTGGGTAGAACAATGTTGGATGTAGGTCCCTACTTTTCATGACTTTGAATATTTCTTGCCAGTCCCTCTGGCCCACCAAGTTTCTTTTGAGAAATCAGCTAAGAGTCTAATGGGAACTCCCTGTAGGTAACTGTCTGCTTTTCTCTTGCTGCTTTTAAGATTCTCTTTTTATCTTTAACCATTGGCATTTAATTATGATGTGTCTTGGAGTGGGCCTCTTTGCATCCATCTTGTTTGGGATTCTCTGTGCTTCCTGAACTTGCATGTCTATTTCCTTTGTCAAATTAGGGAAGTTTCCTTTCACTATTTTTTCAAATAGATTTCCAATTCCTTGCTCTTTCTCTTCTCTTTCTGGCACCCCTGTGATGTGCATGTTGAACCTCTTAAAGTTGCCCTGGAGGCCGCTTATACTCTGCTCCTTTGGTGGGGATTCTTTTTTCTTCTTGTTGCTCTGATTGGTTGTTTTTTGCTTCCTTATGTTCCAAATCATTGATTTGATTCTTAGCTTCACCCACTCTACTGTTGTTTCCCTGTTAATTGTTCTTTATTTCAATTAGTGTAGCCTTCATTTCTGATTGAATCTTTTTTTATGCTGTTGAGGTTATCACTAAGTTTCTTGAGCATCCTTAAAACGAGTATTTTGAATTCTGCATCTGGTAAATTGCTTATCTCCATTTTGTTTAATTAGCTTTTTTTCTGGAGCTTTGATCTGTTCTTTCATTTGGGTCATGTTTCATTGTCTCTTTGTTTTGGAAGCCTCCCTGTGTTTGTCTGTTAGGTAGAGCTGCTTTGAATCCATGTCTTGGTAGTGTGGCCTAATGTAGTAGGCGTCCTGTAGGGGCCAGTGGCACAACCTCCCATATCACTCAAGCTGGGTACTTGAAGTACACCCTTCGTGTGGGCTGAGTACACCCTCCTCTTGTAGTTGAGCCTTGGTTGCTATTGGCAGATCAATGGGAGGGATTTACCCAGACCAGTCAGCTGCAAGGATTTGCTGTGACCACTGACCATCGACCTCTGATCTCCATGGAGGATCAGTTGTGCAGGGGCAGGGTGGCAATACTCCAGCCTGGTCTGTGGCTGTCAACTGGGGGTGCACTGTCCTTGGGTTTTCCAGGGTGCTGAAGGCCAGGGTCATCCCCAACCTATGTTTGCTTGGGGCCACCATGCCTGAGCTATAGGAGAAGCTAAACTGAATCAAGGCTGGCTGCTGCTAGTGCCATGCCTGGGGCTCACTGAGGCCAGCTGTTGCTTGTCTGAAAGGGTTTAGAAAGTTGTGAAGCATGAGCCAAGACCAGCCATTCATATGGAAAAGGAGCTTGGGTGGGCCCTTAAGTCGGGTGGGGTGGAGTCTCTGGGGATCTCCAAGGCAGGTCAAACTGTGTTAGCCAGCTTGATGGAGTCTCAGCTGTGGCACCAGCTTGCTGGTTCTGTGGCTCTGTTGGGGGAGGGTTTAGAAAAGGGACAGTGGCCTCTGCAGTTTCTCCCTGCATGCCACTGGTTCCTTTCCAGCTGCTACCCGGATGCTGGAGCTCCGTGGGAATAAGTCCAAGTAGGTGAGTCTCTGTGTGAGTCCTTTACGAGGAACTGCTTAAGGGTCCAGCAGGTTCTTCCACTATCTTAATCCCCACTGTTTTTTTTCAGCCAGAAGTTGTGGGGACTTCTCTTCCTGGCACTGGAATTTGGGCTGGGGGGTGGGCCTGGTGTGAGTCTGAGACTCCTCCCTCCTGTGATTTCCATCCTGAATTTTTATTCACCACACATGGGTATAGGACCAGCCCACTCCATGTCTTTGCCCCTGGGTGGATGTGGTTTCTTTAATTCTGTAGTTGTCAGACTTCTATTCAACTCAGTTTCTGACAGGAACCAGAACTTGATGTATGTGATACTTGTATGTTTTAGTTGTGATTTTGATGAGGTTGTGTGAAGAGGCAAGCCATGTCTGCCTACACCTCCATCTTGACTGGAAGTCAGCTCTAATCTTTAATTAATTTGTTACTTTGGCCCCTTTTGGGGATAGTCAGTATAATTTAATCTTGAAATTGAGAGGAAAAAAATGGTTCTTGTTTAATATGAAGTAATATATCAAAAATATATAATTAAACATCTATGTATCATTTAAAGAATAACAACTCATCATCCCTGTTCCTTAAAAACTAGAACATTAGCAAGATTTTAGAGCCCTTTGTTCCTCATTACTCCTCCCTCACTGGTAACCATTGTCTTGCTTTTGGGTTTTTAATTCCCTAGGTTAATCAGGTTTGAAAGTTAGGTTTTTAACATGTATACATGTTTGTTTTGAAGGTATTGGGTTGGCCAATATGTTTGTTTAGTTTTTTTCCAAACAATGGCTCTAGTAGTACTTAGCTTCTTTAACTTCATTTGAAACAATTTTGTTAAATTGTATTATGACCGCTGTCATATCAAGTGCATTTAAACAATTTTATCAAAATTGGTAATTTTTGTGCAACCATTTTAATATTAAAGATGGAAGAAAATATGCAACATTTTTTGGCATATTATACTTTATTATTTCAAAAGAGGTAAAAATGCAACTGCAATGCAAAAAAAAAAAAAAGATTTCTGCAGTGTATGGAGAAGGTGCTGTGACTGATTGAATGGGGTTTCCGAAGTTTCTTGTGCTACTGACATTTTGGCCACATAACTCTTTGCTATGGGGCTGTCTTAGGCACTGGAGGATGTCGGTGTCACCCTGGCCTCTGTCTACTAGAAGTCAATTGTGGGAGACAGCCAACATGCTCAGAATATCCAAATCAATAAAGTTATTGGTGAAAATAAAAAATATATCTTTTATTTTATGGAAAAACCATATGGACTTTTTGGCCAACCCAATAAAACATGAAAGTTTTACCTTCATGTATGTATCTGAAAGAAAATTAATATTTGATTTTCCTGCTTTTGAATATTTAAAAATAAATCACACTATATTCTTTAGAAAGTGAGAGGAAAAAATGATAATAGATGAGTTGACCCTTTTATTCAAAGGTGCAGCATGAGAGGACCACATCATTTTAAAGTGCTTTTTTCACAAGATAAAAATTGTCATCATGATGCAGTGATCACACATTTGAGAGTTGGTAATGTGCATAATTAACATACGATTTCTCCTAAATTTTATAAATAGAACCTTTTAAGAGTAATTTTTAAAAACCCCACTGTATCATTTGTTATCTGCACAAGCTATATCATTGAAATAAGTGACCTCATTCACATATTCTTAAAATTAAGTAATTATTTATTTAATTTCTACACTGAAGTAATTTCTATCCTCAAGGAAGTGAGCCTTTAGTAGGGAAAATAAGACCCTCAAAAAAGTGATGTAAGCATTTCAGTACAGTTTAATAATAGAGAAGATATAAGGAGGTATGGCGAACTTTTAAAGAATATTGCTACAGAAGTGTAGAGACGTTCTGCACGTCACAGTGATCCCTAAACCCACTGGACACTTTTCACCGTTTCAGTTCCAGCCTCAGCATTTCTTGTGTCAATGATTACCTTCCACCCCCAACTGGTCAGTCTTTTCCTCAACACACTTTCCAAGTGCGTCCATCCTGTACACAGCTGCCAAACTATTCTCCCTGGTACATCTGTGTAACAGCTGTCCAAGGTCTGGAGGATAGAGGCAAAGTCCTTTACATCTGGCTGCAAGTTAGAGGACGGGAAAGTGTATTAAGGGGTCATACTGACTTAGTGGTGCTTCCAACATAGCAAATTATCTTCTTTTTAAACATTCCATACTTAGAATTTTAAAAAAATGATTCTAGTACTGTCAGGTTTTTAGAACAAATGTAATGTTAATAGCTAAAGTCTGTTAGAGTCCAATATAAATGAACTAAACATAGTCTGAGGGGGGTTTACTGGTACAGATCTTTATGTATTCTTAAATTTGCCTGTTACACTGCTTACACCAGCCTTTTGTTTTGAAGTGGCATTCTCCTAGTGGAACATATGTTTCTGTTTCTTTCACTAGATGGTGCTATTCCACCTTGGTGAGTTAGGTGGTTTTCCTAGGACCAGCTTTAAATGATCCTTTGGGATGAAAGTAAAAGAAACATATGCTAGCAGTTTGAGGATTGGATTTGTAATTTCTGTAAATTCACAGGAAAATTTACCTAAAATAAA